TGATTATGTTGTAGGGTTCAAATGGTACCTTTATATTATTGTGATTAAGGTGTTCCTCGTTTTAAATATGTGGGATCTAAACAAGTTTTCGCCGTTGTCCTTAAAAATAAATATTAGTACTGTACTGCGCTATTATTCACAATTGTGGAAAGTTAAATACAGTATTGGTCATAAAAGTCTATGTTCTTTACATCGATGCTGCAGTTTTGTAAAATATTTGAAACACAATATTAAAAACTCAAAACATTTTACTTTAAATTATTTCATTCTCCACGAGCCAGGTGAATAAAAGAATAATATTCATCTATAGATATATTATTTGAATAAAAATGCGCTTAAATATCATACCGCATTCGATTTTTTAATACAGCTAGATCAAAATATACAAAAATTTATTTTTAAAAAATAAACGACTTAATAATAATAATAACAATAATAATAATAATAATAATAATAATAATAATAATAATAATATAACTATAATAATAATTCGCCAATTTTTTAAATATATCGCGAAGGATTAAATCCGCTTATCCCCTTGTACCATTTGTCCCCTAAAACACAATTAACTCTTTTCAGGACTCCTATATAATCCTTAATATGAGGAACACTTTAATTGCAGTCATTCCCAGATACTAACTTGTACTCTATAACATAATTAACTCTTTTTAGGGCTTTTAAAGTATGCACATAATATCTGTTACCAAATAGTGAAAAAAAAATTTCAAAAATGCATATCCTCTAATTTATTCCACGCTTCATATACAGGGTGTCCGCGCTAAAGTGTGACAGCCGCCTTATTTCGTAACTATTGATGACACGAAAAATTGTTTATATAGAAATTGCACGGTACAATGGGGTCTATGTTTTGGCGTAAACGAAAATTTATTTACATTATTAGTTTAAGAGATATGATGGTCAAGTTTCGTTTTTTAAGTGGAACTGTATATTTTTTGTCAGATCATATGATAGTGCTTCTCAAGACGAATTCATTAAGTTTTAATGTATACACTCGATTTTAATTGGTTTTCGAGATATAACGTTTCCAAATTTGCCAATTTTCAGTAGATACGTCTCGGTTTGAGTAGCAAGTCATAAAAGTGGCCCTATTGTTGCGGTAAGTGCCACAACGGGGGTCTACGCTAGGAACGGCAGACCCAAAGAATAAGAAACCGCAACAATAGGGCCGCTTTTACGACTTGCTACTCAAACTGAGACGTATCCACTGAAAACCGGGAAAGTAAACGTTCTATCTTGAAAACTAATTAAAATCGGGTGTATACATTATAACTTAATAAATTCGTCTTAAAAAGCACTATCACATGATCTGAAAAAAAATATATTATAGTTCCATTTAAAAAACGAAACTTGACCATCATATCTTTTAAACTAATAATGTAAATAAATTTTCGTTCACGCCAAAACATAGGCCCCATTGTACCGTGCAATTTCCATATAAACAATTTTTCGTGTCATCAGTAGTTACGAAATAAAACGCCTGTCACCCTTTAGCGCGGACACCCTGTATACGTTACGCAAAAGGAAATTGCCATTTAGTAAGAAAACTTACTTAAAAAGTTGAAATCGTTAATGCATTGTTTAAATAAATGACTGTTAACTAAATACTTTATTCAAAAACATACAGTTTAGGGAAAGGAGAGTTCATATTTTTCTGAGAGCTGTTTCTGGTATGAGGTTACGTAGGGGGCTGGTGCAACGTGTTCCCTTGTAGGTCGGTCAGATTGAGGCTTTAAGGCTTTGCCTTATGAAGGGGCGTTGCATTGGTTCTATTTTTTTTAACCATATTGTACCAATCCAACACTCTTGAAACTTTTACAGATAATAGTTAAGTAGTAAAGGATTATTCTTAATTTTTTCGGTGGGTGTCACTGAAGGGATTGTTTATAAAAATTATTTTCAAAAATTTATTTATTAATTTTCAACCCTTAATCATCGAATATAAATTTTGAAAACAAATATGTATATGAAATACAGATAATGAGTACCTACTATTTGCACTTTAGTGTGTTCAAATATCTTACATAATTTTCGAGAAAAAAATTAGTCAAGTTTAGAGTTCTTACCCTCATATTTCCCTTATCAGTGGGGGTAGAGGGCTGAAATTGCTCACAGTTGTTCTTTAGACAAAAAGCACTATGTGTGACAAATACCAACCGAAATTATTGCTGGGGCCGATTCACGATGCTTATACGGCTAGACCCTTTACGCAATACCAAGAAAAACATCAGGATTGATACAACCACTAGATGTATATGGCTTCCACATATGGAAAAAGATTGTTAGAAAATTTTCCGATCTCGTAGTAATAAAAAATTATGACATTAATTTGCATTTTCGAAATAATGTTATTAAACTTCAATCGTTAGTAATTAATCAGCTACCGTCACTAACACATTATGTTTTCATATGTCTGGTTCAAAAGTGGGTACACAAGAAAAACCAAGTAATTTTGCAAATCCAGTAGATTTTGCTTTTGCTCAACACGATTCTACAAACCCACCACGTTATTCCATATGTGGTAGCTATGCTATAATACATTGTTCATGGTGCAATCAACTTTTGTGCTTTAAACTCTTTTTTGAAGAGTTCCATCATCATAGAGATTAACACAAAACCTATGTGACGCATAATACGTAACCATCGTGATTTTTTTAAACAACGATAACTACGTATTCTTTTTTTAAATCATAAATGATAGGTAGGGTCAGGAACAACAATTACTGTCCTAACGACCTTTTTATATCAGTTACCGTTTGCAAATAGTAAAATAAAAATGAACCATATCATTATATTTAGTAATATTTTTTGCTCCCTTAAAATAGCAAATAATAATCAAACATTACACCGCTTTAAACCAGGGATCACCACACTTTTTGAGAAACGGGCCGGTTTGAAATTTTTAAAAACATGGGCACCGGACTAAAAATATTCTTATTAAAATCCTATTAGAACATTAATTTACATCGCATGTGTAAACAAACATAGTTTATATTGGAATTTATAATGTAAAATATCTATTAAAATGTATGTATGTATTGTAGATATAATTAAAAAGGGGAAATAATAATAAAAATATTCCCATCAATATTTCTTATATAAAATATTTATAAATAAAAGTCGGAAGCCGCATGAAAATCTTGGGAGGGCCGGATCCGGCCTGCCGGCCGTAGTTTGGTGACCGCTGCTTTAAACAACAGACCATTTCCTATTTTTAACCAACTTCGAAAAGGAGGAGGTTACTCAATTCGATCAGTATGTATTTTTTTTTTTTCTGTATGTGTTCACCGATTACTCCGAGATGGATGGACCAATCGGAACGAAACCTTTTGCATCTTGTAGGGTATGTCTTCCGATTGGTCCCATTGAAAAAAAATTTTTAATTTTTTCATTGTTATTGCAAAATATAGGAACTTTTTAATCTCAAGGTTGGACGATTTCAATGACCTTTTAATATATTGTTGGGAGCATGATTCTGAACAACTTTTTCATTATGCATAATTAACGGAAAGCTTTAGTTTTCGAGATATTCGTGAAAAACTATTACTACTCCATTGAACTCTACGTATGCCTACGTGTTTCTACCGGTGTATGAGTCAGCATGCAGTTGCCGATTCTCTACTGTTTCTATATATGTACACTGAGTTGCATTGAACTTGTCGCAGTGAAGTTGGCTACATATTCACTAACACAATCACGCCGCAGCGTCGATGAACCGATCTCGCCATCGGGTCACCGACGCGGCGTGAACGTGGTAGTGAATTTGTAGCCAACTTCACTAACACATTCACGCCGCAGCGTCGGTGAGTCGATCTCGCCCATCGTCTCACCAACGCAGCGTGGATGTGTTAGTGAATTTGTAGCCAACTTCACTGCGACAAGTTCAATGCAACTCATATACTCTGTAAGGTATGTACCGATTGCGATGAAACCTTTCACATCTAACAGGAGATATTTCCGCGATATCTCACTTGCAAAAATGTATGGAACTTGTTATCGTTAAAAACTATCGTTATTGCAATTAACCAATAAGAACGGTAAACCACCTTACGGCATCCTACAAATACTGCTCGTTCCACTAAAAAGTGTGGAATAAAATAATTTTTAACCAAAAATACAACCGACTTCGAAATGCACTACAAAATATGAAATAATTTCTACTTCATTTATACAAATACCCAACAGCTATTAATAAAACCTATTTACTCGTAAAATCGTAAATACTAAATACATTTCAACCTTTCCGTACGCGGCGTAAAATTAATAATACCCGAATATACGATGCTGCCAATAACGATTTGATAGGTTGCTGACGCCTGAACTAGGATCTTCTTAGTAGAAGAAAGTTTTTGGGTAAACTACCTCAGGGGCCCAAAAATGATGGCCTTTTTTCTTATCTTTTTGAAGTATTTAACGAGTAGAATCTAAAAATCCTAGTTTCAAGGCGCGGAATCCTTTGTTCAAAATTATTTTTCATAATAACTTTTAGAACTTTTCAATAGTTTTTAAGCTTTTTTGTTTATAACTTTTTGTGATTGTTTGAACAATTTTTTGTTTCAACATAGGAAAACACTATACATTAAGATGAACAACTTTTGTTTGTGAAGTTTTTGGATATCTTTAACGGTTTCGGAGAAAAAGAAATGAAGAACAGCCGAAATTTTAAGGGCGATTTTCACCCTCTTAGATTGAAAACGGGCAGCCAAAAAAATTGCGTTTTAATCAGAGGGCCATCCTTTATGCATTTACAAAGTTTTATAATTTTTGGAATTTCCGGTTACGGGATCATTCCTTGTGAGTCTCATCGAATCTGTCGTGGCGTGTGACTCTAACATTTGCTTACGCTTGAGGGCCAATGAGCGTGAATATGTGTTAGAGTCACACGCCGCGACAGATTCGACGAGACTTACAATCAGTGTACTTACACCATCCCACTATGTACCTATATCGTAACAGATACACTATAGCATTTTTATGCATACCAGCCTCATAAAGTGCCTGAGCATCTGCTACACCTTGAGCTTGGTCTACTCCTTGGTTTTCATCCCTATTTGCTTGGACCAGAGAAACCAACAATCTTTTAAAATGTCCTGATGTATCTCCCTTCAGTTCACTCTCAAGAGTTTTTCCATATACTGTTGAATAAAAAATATTCCACTAATGTTCAATCAAAGTATTATAAAGCTTGCATGGGGGCTGTCATGGCCTGCTCTGCAGTTAATAATTATTTGAAAATTTCAAGTGTGTTTAACAGAAAAATCATCAGGAGCCGAAGATCGTAGTATCAGTGCAACCTTTGCCTCTGAAAAAGCTAGCTATATAGGGTGTTAGAAAAAGGCGAAATATTTTAAAAGTAGGGTAATTATTTATATTACGGACGGCACCTTCGATTTCGATGATTTTTAAATACACATACAGGGTGAGTCGCCTAAGGCAAGCCACCTGAATACATTTTTAGAGATAGAAACAAATGTTTCAGACAAAAGTTGTTTGGTTTCGACGAGCTCATTACGTGGTGTACATAACTTTTCTTCAGATGGAGGCGTTTAGGAGATTTGAGGTACTTTTTTATGCATCAAACGATGCAGCTAGACATTCTTTATAAAAAAGTACTGATCTATGTATGTCAAAAAGCTGATAGTTTAGGAGATATTTCAATTTAAATAATTCTAAAATTCGTATTGGCATTAGCGTTTATTTACAAGTATGGTTGAACATAACGATCATTTGCATCACAACATTTTTGAAATCGATGAAGTAAGAACTGGCTATTTAAAGGATAAAGTTTACGCGAAAGATTCAACTACAGTGACTGATATGAAGCAGCGTATTATTGACGAATGTGGCAAAATATCAGCCGTTACATTAAATAACGTAGGCCAGTCCTTACTTCATTGATTTAAAAAATGCTGTGATGCAAATGGTCATTATGTTGAACCATACTTGTAAATAAACGCTAATGTCAATACGAATTTTAGAATTATTTAAATTGAAATATCTCCTTAACTACCAGCTTTTCAACATACATAGGTCAGTACTTTTTTATAAAGAATGTCTAGCTGCATCGTTTGATGCATAAAAAAGTACCCCATTCCATTTAAAAAAACGAAGTTGCCCTTCAAATCTCCTAAGCGCCTCCATCTGAAGAAAAGTTATGTACACCACGTAATGAGCTCATCGAAACCAAACAACTTTTGTCTGAAACATTTGTGTCTATCTCCAAAAATGTATTCAGGTGGCTTGCCTTAGGCGACTCACCCTGTATATAAATGTTTTTGATCCATGTTTATTAGAACTTTTTTCTTGCATTTGACAAGTTCCATCTACCCTTAAAATATTTAACCCCTTTTTTCACACCTTGTACAATCCTTGCAAAACATAGAGAGTATTTTCTTATAAACATGTCTTAAACTTGAAAACTTTAAGACTGTTCTGTTTTAAAATTACATGCAATATACAAAACAAAATGACTTACAATTTTCATAGAATGCTGCAATTGTACGTATACCATAATTGCTCAATGTGCACAAAATTTCTACAATTGCTTCCTCATCAGTTCCCAACCCACATATAGCATCATGTAATTCTTTAGCATAATAATGAGGCAGTGGTGTCATAAGGGCAATTATAACATCTTCTAATTTTCCTGTAAGTTCACTTTTCAGGTCACTAACCAAATCTTTTCCATATAATGTTTTGTATGCTTCAGCAATTTCTAAACGTTGAACAATTCCTCTCTTTGTAAGCACATCAATAATCGTTCTCTCATCAGTGCCAAAACCTTTCATTGCTTTACGTAGCAATGCAGCATCTGCATTGGCATCAAAAGGATCTGCAGGATATACCGTAGGAGTGCACTATAATAAAAGAAATATACTTTATAGATTTTTAAAGTTAAATTTTTGCAGATATATCATTATATTATAAGTAATATTAGAAATTATTGATATAAATAAGATTGCTATTCATATCACCATTGACTAATAACTCGGCATACATGTAGATGTAACAAACTTATTTGTACAAAAATAAATAGTAATTTATTGCAATCAAATTCAATATAACTTGATATTTATTCATATTTATAGGTGTACTGGAAAATGTATATATTATAGGTAAAAATGTAAAAGTTAAGCCCACAACCGTTAAAAATATTGATAAAAATAAAAAATTTAATTATATAGATAATATATTGTTTAAATTAATTTTATATACATAACATTTAAATCTATACAATGCTTCTGAAAAATTATAAAATCTTATTCAAAAAATACGTATTAACAATACAAATTTAAAGTAATACAAGCAGATTTAACTAACGCGGTTTAATTGATTCGAACGAGTAGTGTTAAAAATACTGGTGATCGATCCAAGCCAAGAATAGATCGATCTAATCAGTAATCGTGTAAATAAAAATTCCATTAAATCTTCTACAATAATTGAAATGTACTTACTTTATAGGGATAGTACTGTTGTTGCGACATTTTTTCTTATTCAAAAAATTGTCTAGAACTGATAAAGATAACGATTAATCGATTAACGTCAAAGAGTAGATATCGAAATTCTAAATTTTGGGTGTTATTATGTTATTTATAAGTATATTTCTGATAACAATTTTCAATCAATCGTAAAAAATAAAATATACTTACAATAAATATAATCTAAAAAAGTTAACAATACACTGTTTCAGTAAAGTAGGAGTAAAAAGAACTTATTCGTCGAATAGCTAGTCAACAATGGGCACACCCACTTTCGCACACGTCATCCATACTCCGTTCAAGGTGCTTACATGCGACAGTGAGTAATGAGTAAAAGGAATCAACCACAATGTTTTCAATAACAATTCTATATTACACATATGTGTTAAATGTATGTATATACCTACTTATTCATTTTTACAAATTTAAAATTCGACGAATTCTCTGTTATGCACTCATATATATTACAAAATTATTACGACACATTAATATTTAGCTATGTCTTATCATACGTGTATTTTTAAATGAAAAATACAGTATAAATCATAATACACCACAGTAAAATAACCAAAAAGATTTACATTCATGTTATTACATATATGTACATCCTTTGCATCTTATTTTTAAAAGGTTATCCTTTTTTCCCACTTTCTTCACGCCTCGGTGCTGAAAAATATCAGGCTACCCTGAAGAACCGAAACTTCGAATTCTGCGTCGGTAAAACAGTCAACGTTGCATTGAAAATTAGGCCGAACAGAAACTGATTTCAGCGCCACCTCAGTTATTGCATCCAACTAACGGCATGCTATGCTACGTGACTTTTCGCATACATCTAAATGTCACACGGATGCTACGATAGCTATATTATGTACGTCCCCGCCAAAGTATAAAATACAATAGTGTTGAAATGAAATTACATAACTCCTTCACCCAAATATTATATATACATTTCTTGTAATATAACATAACCAAGGGAAGAATATTCCTACAAATCGAATGCCCAAGGTTAGTTTTTTTAAAAATAATTTGTCCCGATATGGTACTCCGATATATATAAGTGGTATCAAATCTTTTTCCGAAGTACGAATGTTTAGGAATAAGAACTATCTAATGTGATAGGAACGCAGTATATTACTATGAACGAAATAAAAAGAAAATGATAAATTGTAAAATAAAATTGTTGATAATTAATAAATTGCAATTAATTGATAATGCATTTACTTTATTCAATAAAAAAAATAAAAGATACTATAAACATTTGTCATGTATCCAGTATATGTACATTTATATACAATCTTCGTCATGATCTGATTGTGAAAAATGAATGTATATATACATAATTCACACTTTTCCTTTTTGGGGGGATATAGGAAAGAGACGGGTACTAAAATAACTGTAAACAAAATATATAATAAAAAATAAAATATTTTATTTGACTGACGTCAGTACACAGGATAAGGAATATGAGAATAAATGAGAAGAACGTAACTTGCGGAAAATATTGTATATTATAAATAGAAATATATAAAAGTAGTAAAAAAAATTAAAAGAATATATAATATAAAATAATTTTTAACAAAAAACAAATCCGACTTCGAAATGCACTAAAAAGTGTCAAATAATTTCTATTTCATTTATACCAATATTCCATAGCTATTAATAATATCTACTTAATCGTTGAATAGGATACCAAATACATACATTTCAAAGTTTTCGGAGGCGGCGCAAAATTAAAAACTTTTCCTCTACTAAGAAGATCCTAACTCGGACGTCGGCAACCTATGATAAATCACCCATTTGATAATTTCAAGTAAATAATATTCAACGGGAATCAACAAACCCATTGCGAATTAACTATACTGCAGTTCACGAGTGACCGCACTTAACTCGCGCAGCTAGTGACCTACTGTGGTCTAGGGAGATTTTTAATAGTGCGTGTGATTCCCCTTTACAGCTTGCTTCTTACTTTGTGTTCACATCATTTTTTTCTTGCGACAAATAATAGGAATTTCATTGTATCGTGAAACTTTACAATATCATCACCGATTATCAATTATCGTATGTTATATATTTCTGCCCGCCATTTATATGGTCGCAAAGTATAATAAGAAGCAAGCTGTAGAGGGGAATAACACACGTTATTAAAAATCTCTCTAGACCAAGTGAGCGGCGCGAGTTAAGTATGGTCTCTTGTGAACTGCAGTATAATGCATGTACATCAGGAGGGCTGCTAATTTCTCATACAATCGTTACAATTACAAATGTTTTCAGCTGGACCTATAATGTTTCTCTTACGACTTATTAATTACCAAGTTTGCCATACCGCAATCAAATCGTTATTGGCAGCATCGCTTGTTCGGGTATTTTTAATTTTGCGCCGCCTCCGAAAACTTTGAAATGTATTTGGTATCCTATTTAACGATTAAGTAGATATTAATAGCTATGGAATATTGGTATAAATGAAATAGAAATTATTTGACACTTTTTAGTGCATTTCGAAGTCGGATTTGTTTTTTGTTAAAAATTATTTTATTTCACACTTTTTAGTGGAACCTGTAGTATTTTTAGGATAGTGTAAGGTGATTTTGGGTTTCTGTTACTTAGCTAATAACCATAAACCTAAAAAATATTGACCAAATTTAAATGGTTAATAAACAACAAATTCTATAAATTTTTGCAAGTGGGGTCATCGCGGATATACAAAGTGTCACGCGACTACCTCTACAGCCGAAGAGGGATGATTGCTAAGGTGATTCTAAACAACTTTTTCCTTTTCCAAAATGTTGGTAAGGCTTGTTTTTCTAGTTATTAACAAAAAACACCGACCAATCCGAGCGCGTACAGCGCGCGGGCTCAGGGACTGCAATGTCGGCTATGAAAACCGGGCCTGACGTAGGTCGCAAACGAACGGCTCGGCACCCCGTTGGCATAGCACAATAAAAAAATTGGACGGGTAGAACATTTTTAGTCGTTGTTTAAAATGAATACGGAACCTAATCTCTTGTCGCCTATCATAATGTAAAAAAGGAAATTCTAAGGATTCTAAACAACAAATAAAAATGATTGAAATGGAATAATTAATAAACGTTTGAATTGGAAGCCACGTTATTGATGAAAAATTTGAAAACAATATAAATGAAACTTTCGCATTCGTTCGTAAATTAACCTACTACGCTGAAAGCAGATAATTGTCACTGGGAATCGAGGAAACACGTTCGGTAGAACAGTAATTTTCATGATCGGGCCAGTGAACTCCCCTCATTTATTGCACTTAGGTGTGAATGACAGGCAAGGTGTTTGCTCATCGAATGTCCGGAATCGACACAGTGATCTAGTGGGAATTATTTGCTTTCAGCGTAGCAAGTTAATTTAGTAACGAATGGGTAAGTTTCATTTAAATTGTTTTCAAATTTTGCATCATTAGTGTAGCCTTTAATTCAAACGTTTATTAATTATACCACTTCAAACATTTTTATTTGTTGTTTAAAATCCTTAGAATTTCCTTTTTTACATTATGACAGGCAATAAGAGATTAGGTTCCATATTCATTCTAAACAGCGACTAAAAATGTTCTACCAGTTCAGTTTTTTTATTGTGCTATGCCAACGGGGTGCCAAGCCGTTCGTTCGCGACCAACGTCAAGCCCGGTTTTCGTACCCGACACTGCAGTCCCTGGGACTGCGCTCTATCCGCGCTCGGATTGGTCGGTGTTTTTTGTTATTAACTCGCAAATCAAGGCTTAACCAACAATTTGGCAAAGGAAAAAGTTGTTTAGAATCCCCTTAGCAATCATCCCTCTACGGCTGTCGAGGTAGTCGCCTGACACCCTGTAATTCCTACCAAATATGAAAGGTTTCATCGCGAACGATACATTCCTTGCAGAGTAACATGAAGGCGTAGATTTTTTGCTATAATAGTAGTTATTAACAAATTCAATAAATTTTTGCAATTGAGATCATCGCGGATATACCTTCTACTAAATGTGAAAGTTTTCATCACAATCGATACATTCCCTGCAGCATAAACGCCAGAAGACATAAATGAAGTATTACGTTTTTTGCGACATAAGTCGTTAGGAATGAAAAAATACAAACTTTTTTTTGCGAGACCAATCGGGAAATATACTCTACAAGATGTAAAAATTTTTATTCGATTGGTCCATCCATCTTGGAGTAATCGGCGAACATACATTTAGAAGAAATAGTCGTTAGGAATGAAAAGATGCAAAATATTTTTTTTACTGGACCAATGAGGAGTTACACTCTACAGGACGCAAAAAGTTTCGTTCCGATTGGTCCATCCGTCTCGGCGTAATCGGTGAACATACATAAAAAAAAAAAAAAAAAGAAAAAATACATACACATCGAATTGAGTATCCTCCTCCTTTTCGAAGTCGGATAAAAATAGAAATGGATACATATATAATAATATAAAAATAGAATCTAAAATATAATAATAATAATAAAAAATAAAATATAATAATAAAAATTAAAAATAAAATATAATAATAATAATTAAAAATAAAATATAATAATAATAATTAAAAATAAACTATAATTAATAATAGTTTCTGAAATCAAACAAATCATATTATTATAATATCTTTATCATTATTACATATTATACATATATTATTGTCGTATTCACTTGTTACGGCTATTGCCTCCAACGATCTACTCCGCTTGTTGAAAAATAAATATTATGTTATTATTCATAAACAATCAATAGCAGAAATAACGTACAAACAGGAATGTAAAAGAATGACTTACGCTATACTCAGCATGTTCTGCATTTTCTGCAACAGTTCATGCATTTGCTGCATTTGCTGCTGCTGCATTTGCTGCTGCTGCATTTGCAATAACTGCAACAGCGGTTCTGGTTGCAGCGTATCCTGTTGCGGTTGCAACGATGAAACTATCGTTGTACAATGCGAATGTACAAGTGAGAGACCTACTGTATAAAACGTCCTGGACAATAACGACGATAATCTCGTCGTAGACGTCGGACACGTAGATGTGGCACGTATTTCGGAAAACAGTGCCAGAAGGCCGCCGCATTGTTGACGTTCAGTTCTTTTGGAATGAAATACATAGAACGTTCGACAATCGTGCACAAGGTATTCAATGTCATTTTCGCGATTGGAAAATGATCGGTAGTCGCCAGCATGGGTGTCTCGCACAGTTTTTCTTCAAGTGCCAAATGTGCAATTACGAAGATACTGTTTGGTCGGATCCTATGCATTCAGATATAATGAATGTAAATGAGGCCATGACGACCGCTACTGTTACAGTCGGAATTGGCTATGCACAATTAGAAGAATTATGCGCCGCAGGGCCGGCGCGAGACAGGTTCAGCGCGTTCGCCGGAACCCGGCCTCGCGTTTTGAAAGGCCCCGCGGTTTACAAAAACTCGCGATTGAAACTAATAAAAAATTATCTTCAGTCATCAATAAGCCAAGACCGATTTACATCTCTGGCTATTCTGTCAATAAAAAGCGAAGTAGCAAACTCAATCAATTTTGATGACACAATCAAAGATTTTGCGGCGAAAAAAGCGAGAAAAATTATGTAATATTCATTTTACAAAAAATATATGTGACATCCTTTCTACTTATAATAAATAATTCCTTATTGTGAAATTTAAGTATAGGATTTGAATGTGTATTCTGGCTCCACAAAAGTTTTGGAACCAGGCCCCGCAAAAGGTCACGCCGGTCCTAATGCGCCGTCCTGAACATGCCCTGCATGGCTAAAACGACGTACCTGAGGTACCGTGAAAAGCTTGTAGATGAATTTATGAAAAGCGCAATGCATACCATGCAGGCAGCAGGTGAAGAAGAAAGACGATTAGCTTCTAAAAACAATGAAGTCGTCGACGGTATCCCATACATAACTGTCATAGCGGATGGTAGCTGGATGAAGAGATCGTATGGTACGAATTATATTTCACTTTCCGGTGTTGGTGCCATTGTAGGTTTCCGTACAGGAAAAGTTCTGTTTATCGGCATACGAAATAAACACTGCACAATATGTGATATAGCGGAACGAAAAGCTACATCCCCAAAACATCATAAATGTTATAAAAACTATGATCGTTATGCCAGTTCTAGTAGCATGGAAAGTGATGCTATTGCTGAAGGTTTCAATTGCAGCATTGAAATGCATGACTTGATATATAGAACGGTTGTTGCCGATGGTGATAGCAACGTCTAT